GATGTCATGCAGTTGGACTGAATTTGGTAAATTTAGTGAGTATATGTAGAGATGGTGCACCTTCCATGACAGGAAAACACAAAAGGATTAAAAAAGTATTAACAGATCCAGATGCTCTCATTTCTTTTTCTTTTTTTTTTTTGTTTTTGGTTAGGCAATTACTTGTCCAGGGTCACACAGCTAGTAAGTGTCAAGTGTCGGAGGCTGGATTTGAACTCAGGTCCTCCTGACTTCAGGGCTGGCGCTCTATCCATTGTGCCTCTTAGCTTCTCCCTCTCATTTCTTTTCATTGTATCTTGCATCAGCAAAATCTCTGTGCTAAAGACACTATTTTAAATGACACTTTGCAACAAGTTATAAGTACTGTTAACTATATTCATGCAAATGCAACATGGCATTGTCAGTTTCCTAACATGCTGAAGTTGAACAATGAAGCATTTAGTGTGGATTTGCCACATCATTCTAAAGTGCGATGGCTACTGCAGGGCCTGTTAGCCAAAATTTTATCTCTGTGAGAACAGAGAGTTAAATTTTATGAGAACAGAATCAGCTATGTGAATTACTGAAAGAAGATTTCTAAATGCTGTATTTCTGTGATATCATGTCAAATCAAAACTACTTGAATATTTCTTTGCAAGGTAAAACTAAGTCTATGTATGATATGTGGCAAAAAATCCAAGCATTTCAAAAAAAGCTACCTTTTTTCAAAACACTTCTTCTTCAAAAGCAAATTTCAGATGAACATTTTCCCCAGTTACCAAAGGTCATTGATGAGCATGATGATGTATGCGAATCATCTGAAGAATGCAGAGCTGTTATAGACCTATTAATTGGAGAATACAATGAAAGGTTCACTTATTTTGGGAATCATGATATCACACTCAAATTAGTATTTCAGTCTCACCTAGTTGATAGCATCAAGGCACCTAAAGATTACAGATGGAATTTGACTGAGCTCTCAGTAGATGACATTTACAAGTTATTAATGCTAAGAAAGATTCAATTGAAACAGGGAAAAATGCAGTAGAATACTCATGCCTTCCACTTACTTACAAATCTACATTCTCCTACCTAACCCAAACCAAGACACCGCTAAGGTCACAAACGACTGATACCCATTTAGAGGATAAACTGAAATTGCCCCCATGTTGCAACCAAATATTCAAATGCTTTCTAAAAAAAAGCAGACACAACAAAGTCATTAAAAGGTTAGTTAACTATAATTTCATTTTTTGAAATTATTAAGTGCATAGTAGTTAGATTTTTACTACATTTTTAAGTATACCTAATTGAAGTTTCTTGAATTTGGCCTTATTTGATTACAGCTAAATATTAATGTAGGCTTCTAACACAAAAAGGTTCCCCACCCTGGACAAGTTAATTCAACTTTCCAGTTCTCAGTTGTCTTATCTGTAAAATGAGAATGACGTACTACCTCATCCCAAGGGTGTGAGGAAAGTACTCTGTAAGCTTAAGATACTACAAAAAATGTGGGTTATTATTCTATGAAATCTAGGAACAAACTGGTCCTAAAGTAAATTAGGCAATGAAAAATTTTAACAAAATGAAAATAAAATCCATTAAACAAAGATGTTCATAAGAAGTCACAGACTAGTAGCACCAACAGAAAAGATCATAATAGTAATACTTTTTAAAGGCAAATTATTTTAATCTAAATCAGTTAAATTTAAATTATTTTTAAAGGCAAATTATTTTAATTTAAAGGTAATTAACCATGCTGATAAAGGATGACAACTGTGAACAACACTTAGTCTGAATGCACGTAGAGAAAGTTGAATTTGGAGTCAGGAAGATCTGTTTGAATACTACCTCTAGGATTAGTTGTATGGGCAAGTCACTCAAACTTTATAATCTTCAGTTTCCTTAACTGCAAAATGGAGATACAATCTACAAGGCTCATTGTAAGGCTCAAACATGAGGTAAATCACTTTGCAAACAGTAAAAGGATTTAGGGATTGGGTCTGTCATTTCATTAGTGTAAGTGAGAAAAATTCCCTCTAGCAAGGCAGATAAGGAGCTTCTCTTCTCCTTGGAGTTATAAACCATAGAGAGACTTGAGAGGTAAAATTACTTGCCCAAGGTCACAAAACCAGCATGTGTCTAAAGTGGGACCTGAGCCTGGGTCTTTCTGACTTCAAGGCTGGACCTCTATGCACCACTCCACATTGCCTCCCAAGTCTTAAAAGCACTATAAAATGCTAATTATTGTTTTCTAAAATACCAAAATTATTTCAAGTATTTGGATTTAGAATGTTTTCTTTACTTAATATTTTTAAGTATTATTTATAAGGAAGCCATGCTATGAACACCTGATTCAACAAAAACTATAAAACCACAAAGCTGCCATATTCTTCCCACTACCTGCCCCTCCTTTCTATGAAGAACTTATCCATAAGCCTAATCACGGTTGCCCTTTAAAATCAGCTGTCTTGGAATCCCGACTCCTTTGTCTAAGGAGATTATGGTTTAAGTTTAAAAGGCTTTGCCATCTAGGTCCTGTGAAAACGTCAAAGGGTGAAATGAGTATAGTGGGTGCTGATGTGAAGAACCTGAAATGCAAGATATGCTGGAAAGAGGTGAGACAGAGAATTAAGTTGTAAATAATCAAGATGATACCAAATCTAACGGCCTCTTTTCCATCCTCAACCTTGAGCTCTCTGAAGACTGTGACCCAATTGATTGTCTACTTTCCTCTCCAGATTTTTGCAGCATTGCTCTCTCTTGGGCTTTTTCTTACCTCTCTGATGATTCTCAGTCTTCTTTGATATGACTTCATCCAGGTAATGCCCACTAGCTGTGGGCATCCCCTACGGCTCTGTCCTGGACCTTCTCTTCACTGTAACAGTGGCCCCTTAACCTTTTTTTGTGTCATAGACCCTTTTGGCAATCTGGTAAAGTCTATGTAACCCTTCTCAGAATGATTTTAAATGCATAAAACATAAGATCACAAAACAAACTATACTGATACATAGTCATCAAAACATTCTTAAAAACAAGTTCATGGATCCCAGCTTAAGAAACCCTGCTGTATATACTATCTTGTTGAGTGATCTCATCAGCATCCATGGATTAATTAGCATTCCTTTTCGGATAATTCTCAAAATCTATTTTATTCTCCTTGCAAAGGCCAAACACTGCTCCTCCCCCCACATCTCTTTTACACACACACACACACACACACACACACACACACACAATCCCATCTCTTCCCAACTTTTCCAAAGTGACTCCACTAGTCAATTTCCTGACCTACAGTTTCCCATCATCAAATGCCTATTACAAATCTGGAACCGGATGTCCTTTGGGCACCCTAACTTCAACATGTCCAAAACTGAACTCATCATGTTTTCCCAAACCTTCCCTCTTCTGAACTTTCCCATTACTATTAAAGTGTACCAACATCCTCTTCCAGTTAGTCACGCAAGAGTACAACCTAGTTGTCATCAACTGCTCCTTTACACTCAGTCCACATATCTAATCTGCCGTCCAATCTTGCCATTTCTGCCATCATGTCTCTTGTGTATGTCCTCTTCTCTTCACTCACATAGCTGCCATCTTGTCCAGGCCCTTATCACCTCACAGCTGGACAAATGCAATAACTTATGGCTGGTCTCCCTGACCTAAGTCTCTCCACTGTAGCCCACCCTCTCTCCACTCAGCTGCCAAGGAATAAGCCAGGTCCAACCATGCCATCTCCCACTTCTCACCCCACCTAATCAACTCTGGTGTATATTATCGTTAGGATCAAATCTAAAACCTTCTGTTTGGTTTTTATTGTTTTTCATAAGCTGGCCCTTCCTACCTTTCCATTTTTTTTTTGTTTTAGGCAATTGGGGTTAAGTGACTTGCCCAGGGTCACACCTTTCTAATATTCTTATCCTTCACTTCCCTCCAAGTACTCTAGCCTCCTTGCTGTTCCATGCCCATGACACTCCTGACTTGAGGCATTTCCACTGACTGTCACCCACTCCTGGAACTTTTTCCTTTCTCATCTCTGCCTCTCATCTTTCCTGGTTTCCTTCAAATCTTTGCTGTTCCTCAAATACAATACTCTCCCAACTCTATGCCTTTCAGTGGATTTCTACCATGCCTAGAATACTCTCCCTTCTTCACCTCCACTTCCTGGCTTTCTTCAAGATTCAGGTGACATCTGACCTTCTGCAAGAAGTCTTTCCTGGACCCCTCACTACTTGTGACTTTACCTTTGAGATTACCTCCCATTTACTGTGTGCATGTGTGTCTACTATTTGTACATAATTCTTTGCATGTTATCTCCCCCCATTAGATTGTGGGTTCCTTGGGGGCAGGAACTGCGTTTTTGCCTTTCTTTATATCCTTGATGGTCACCACGATGCTTGGCATATAGTAAGCACTTACTGATGATGGTACTACTTTTTAAAAAAACTTCTGGTTTACTAATAAATTTTTTTAAAATTTGAATTTTTTGGGGGAGCTTTTTGGTGAGGCAATAGGGGTTAAGTGACTTGCCCAGGGTCACACAGCTAGTGTCAAGTGTCTGAGGATGGATTTGAACTCAGGACCTGATTCCAAGACTGGTACTCTATTCATTGTACCACCTAGTTGCCCCTTAAAAAAATCTGAATTTTTAATTTAAGCAAGTATTAATTTTTGTTATTATAATTAAACTTCAACTGACAGAACGATTAAGCTGAGTATGTTATTGTCATCTTTTCAGTCAGAATACTGATGAATAAATATTCATAAGGAAAACCCTGTTGTAACACTAGCATGCTTCAAAATTCAACAACAGAAACTAGATGGTTTAAAAACAACTATAATTTCCTCTGTAGCAGAATGGATGCATGCGTCAAAGAAATGACTGCCAAGCAGTTAAGATTTCTCAAAACTTATGCCATCATAGGCTAAAAAAAATAAGCCCTTACCTATAAAAAGAGGTTTATTAAATAGGTCTTATCCAATAGCACAATGTGAAATAAAAAGTATAAAAAACATGTAAATAGTGAAAAATTACAACCATTTTAATATAAAGCATGTTTCCCCATTGAGTAAATATACACATCATTATGAATATTTACAGGATCTTGAAAATAAGACAAATTTTTCTCCCATTCTACACGTTATTGTATTTAAAATGGAAAAAGAATACCTATATACAAGTACAAACTATACAAGTCTTTACAAAATAGAATTGAAAATGAAGGATTCTGCACTGCTTCCTGTCATTTTTGTTTTTGTCACTTTGAGCTTTTCTGATAAAACTGTGATTTCATTTTTGTCTTACCTAGTAATCTTAGTCTCTTCAATACTGGTTTGAGAAATAGTTCCCACTTCTATCACAGTTTTAGGACAGTCTTTTTTCAGTACACAGTGCTCCCCTGAACCACTGCGTTCTCTCTTGGTGGATCCATCAATAATATTTTTATTAATCAAGTTATTTACTCAATTTTATTCAGGTGAATTAGACAAAAGGGCTTGTGTATTTATCAATGCCAATTCTTCATCTGCAATCAAATCATTTTCCACCATACTCATTCCACTTAATGTTTTTGATGCTGTCATTTGAGGAGAGTTCAGTGTATTTTCCTTTATAGGTTTGCTTTGGTTCTTGCCACAGCTCCGTGGTGGCTGAAATGCTTTCTGTGCAGCTGGAGAAACAAATGTGCAGATTGGGCTAATTGGTGGAGGTAAAGGCAGTCTACTGAAGAAATCCAATGATCTCCTCTTCTTGCAGATTCTGGGGTCATCCATTTTTCTGTCTCCTTTACAGTCTGCTGTTGGGGTTATTTTGACTGAGCTGGTGGTAAGACCAGAATTCCCTTCAGGACAGTGATGACTTGGTTCGCTATGAGAAGTGGATATCTAATAGAAGGCAAAAATCCAACAAAGAAAAAATAACTCTAGATAAAATAAATGCTTATGTAAGTCAGATTATTTAATAACAGTAAATACTAAGTAATATGTCTTCTTTCAGAAGGAAATATTTTAGAACAGAGGAGTTTTCAAATAACAGAAAGAGGACAAAGGCAGACCAGGTGAGAAAAAAGGTGAAAATTTACAAGCAGACAAACCCACTGAGAACCAAACAAATACTTCAATATGGAGCCTAACCAGGGCAGAGAATAAAGGTTACTCACTATACCTCTACTGATGTAGCCTAAGACTGAACTATTGTTTTTGGCTCTAATGACACAAAGTTGACTCTTAATGAATGCTCAGTTAAATAAGATCTTCAGATCATTTTCACCTGAACTTATGTTTGACCACAACTGCCCCTTCCTGTCCTTGCACACTTAATTTTTTTGAAGCTGTATGTAAGAACCATATGTAAAGACCCCCTAAATTTCAATCATTTGCAGTTTGACTTATAATTCTAGTCAAAATAGTTTTGTATCCTAATCAGTCATTGAAATCTGTCAAATATTAGCTAGGAGCAACTAGCTCATCTACAAATCTGACAAGCATGTCAAATATAATCCACATGCCCAACAGAACCCTGTGACACTCTCACTATATACTTCTTCCTAGGTCTATATCAGTTCATTCAATGACATTCTTTGGGTATGGTTAGTGAACCAATCAAGGAACTTCTAAATCCATTTAAATGTGCTGATGTGTTTATACCTCTTCATCTTGTCCCCACAGATACCCTGACTTGGGGCAGCTAGGTGGTGCAGTGGATAGAGCACCAGCCCTGGAGTCAGGAGGACCTGAGTTCAAATCAGGCCTCAGACACTTGACACTTACTAGCTGTGTGATCCTGGGCAAGTCACTTAACCCCAACTGCCTCACCAAAAAGAAAAAAAAAGTGGCACAAAAATACCTCAACAGGTTCTGTCCAATGCTATGCTGACACCCAGGAATGATCACAGTGGTAAGAAAAGCCTAGAATTCTATAGGTTTGTCAAGTGCTTTGCAGAACTTGACCTCTTTTAATCCTCATATGAACCTTGTACAATTGGTACTATTATTAGACCCACTTTACAGATGAGGAAACAGGTTGGGAGAGGTTAAGTGACTTGCCCAACAGCTACTGTCTGAGGTAGGATCTAAACAAAGTCTTCCTGCCTTCAAGGCCAGCACTCTGTCCATTATACCACCTGACCGACCAGGACAATAACTGTGTTAAAAATAATTTCAAATATTCTAAGATTGCAACATGTTGTCTCCTTGATGAAATGTAAGCTCCTTGAGGGAAGGAACTGTTTTGTTGTTGTCTTTTCTATCCCCAAGGCCCCAGAGCCCACTCAGCACAGTCCCTGGCACACAGCAGGATCTTAAAAAATGTTCAACTACTAAGCTGAATCCTCGAATTAGAGACTCAGTTTACAATGCCGGACTACAAAAATGTTTTTGCGGTTGTTGTTGCTAAACGGTAAAACACCCCACATTCCATATTTCCTTTGCCTGCTATTGTATATGACTAGCATTTGTAATTCCTCCTTAAATCACACTGAAATAAATGTTTGCATCCATTACTAAACATCACATGGTCAGTTTGCACATGCTCTTACTCACAACAACTTACCACATGCCCCAGGCCAAGTCTTGCTTGAGGATAAGGTGAGTCTAAATTATACTCTTTGACTGCATTAGGTTGTTTGGAATTATGTGTGTTGAGCAGATGAGTAAGTTTACTTTCTGCATCACTGCAGAACAGGTCAATATTCTGAAATGACAAATTTTTAACAACTTAATGAGCCTGGATTTAAACTCAGCTCTTCTTGACCCCAGGGCCAGGGCTCTATCCACTAAAACACAGCTTCCACCACAGTGATGGCTGAATTGAATTCAACCCCAGATGGCTCTTGAGCTCATGAGTTATTCTGAATTTCTGGTGTTTTAACATATGTAGTTCCTTCACTGGTCTGCATCTCCTGTCTCCCTTCCTATGCTTTCTCTTAACTAAGTCAAGCAATGTAAAAGCCACTTTTTCCTTCCTTAGCACTGTTTCATGCCTGACTGATTTGAACATCTAACTTTCATCAAAAAATGAGCTGGAAGCCACCATAACAGATTTATAAATTTAGAGGTGGAAAGAGTCTTAAGGGGTGATCTAAGGCCACCTCCTCACAAACCATGTTTCAAGGTGTGTTTAGAAACTGGAATCAAAGGATAAGGTGAGAAAGCAGGGCGGAGGAAATGGTGACGTGCCTAAGAACACTAAGACTACTTCAACACTTAACAGGGTCTGCCCCCAGCACAGGCCAGTGTTGGCAGACCTGAAACCCAAGGTAATTAGGTTATCCACACAAACAAAAGAAGTGTGGGAGGGAAAGAGACAGACAAAAATCCACTCGCTATTCCTTCAGCTAAATGGTAGAGGCTTGCCTTCCTTCATTTACATAACATAAAAGAATCTGACATAGATTTAGGCAAAATATACTTCTACTCTATTAGTACGGGGTACAGTGAGAATAATTTTCCCATTCTCCCATAAAGAACTACTTATATCACAATATCTGGGCAAACAGCATAAAATATTGGAGGTGAATCTTAAACACAAATACATAGTTTGTATATAGTCTTCGACAACTCATAGCTAACTTACACAGCAGGCACCACAGTCATTTGTTGTTGCCGTGCAGCTTCAGTTGTGTCTGACTCTTTGTGACCCCGTTTGGGGTTTTCTTGGCAGAGATGCTGGAGTGGTTTGCCATTTTCTTCTCCAGCTCACTTTACAGATGAGGGAACTGAGGCAAACTGGGTTAAGTGACTTGCCCAGAGTCACACAGCTAGTAATTCTGAGCCTGGATTTAAACTCAGCTCTTCTTGACCCCAGGGCCAGGGCTCTATCCACTAAAACACAGCTTCCACCACAGTGATGGCTGAACTGAATTCAACCCCAGATGGCTCTTGAGCTCATGAGTTATTCTGAATTTCTGGTGTTTTAACATATGTAGTTCCTTCACTGGTCTGCATCTCCTGTCTCCCTTCCTATGCTTTCTCTTAACTAAGTCAAGCAATGTAAAAGCCACTTTTTCCTTCCCTAGCACTATTTCATGCCTGACTGATTTGAACATCTAACTTTCATCAAAAAAACAGTCTCTTGCTATTTTTGCTACTTTAAGACCTGAGGTTATGATAAGAAGCAATTTTACCTCAACAGAACTTTTCAACTTGTTGAATATCTCTTGAAAATGACTTTCCTTTGGACTGGCAGAAAATGAAGAAAATTCTCCAGCAAATAAGGTGGGAATTCCTGATCTGGACTCTGCTCTCCACTGAAGGTTGCTTGCAGCTATCAATGTATGCACTTTAATAACATCTTCATTAAGGTCTATCCACAACTTTACTGCTAATAAGTTACAGTATTCATCTGACAAGTACACCAAAGGTGCAACACCTGGCATTTTTTTTAAAAAGAAAGAGTAAATATATTTACCATGTATACAGGAGAACAAATTCAGAAATGCTGACAAATACAGATGTGCCCACTCAGTTGAAGCATATCCCAATGACAAAAACAAAACTAAAGCAAATTAATTTGGAAAAATTTCAAGAGTTTCTTAAATGATCTATTCCCAATGAGTGACTAAGAATTCTACATCAGTCAAGGTCAGAGATACTGTGACTGTAATAATAATGAAGCTAATATTTTACAACACTCTGAGCTTTGTAAGCCACTAACCACAGTTCATTTGGTCCTCACAGCACCCCTTTAATGAGTACTATTAATATCCCATTTTATAGACTGGTTAAGTGACTTACCCAGGGTCACAAAGCTGGTGTTTAATGCAGGACTGTAACACAGGTCTTCCTGACTCTAACTCCAGGGCTCTATTTCCTATACCCCCTAGCTTAAGGATGGATTAAACAATCATGCGGTTGTGTTATCAGCCCCATTTGGACATGTGGGTGTCCAAATGAATGGGAATGAGAAGCAAGGGGAAGAGATCAAGAAAATCATTAAGACTAAATTACTTCAGTGAATGAGATATACAATTTGAATGGGTTCCTGTTGCATAAATAACAAAATGTTTTAAAGATTAAGAAGAAATTACTTGTCTTGGAATATTTATTTGGTATGGTTTATTTTTCTTATTAATATTGGCTTCAGGGGCAACTAGGTGGCGCAGTAGATAGAGCACCAGCCCTGAAGTGAGGAGGACCTGAGTTCAAATCTGGCCTCAGACTAAACACTTGACACTTACTAGCTGTGTGACCCTGGGCAAGTCACTTAACCCCAATTGCCTAAAAAACAAACAAACAAACAAAACTGGCTTCACAGGCTACTCAGTTTAGTACAATACTGAAGCCTGCAATACGTACTAAGAGTTTTCTCCAATCCTTTATAATTAATTTTGTTGTTGGTTTGTTGTTTCAGTTATGTGTGACTCTTCATGACCCCATTTAGGGTTTTCTTGGTAAAGATACTGGAGTGGCTTGCTATTTCCTTCTCTGGCTCTTTTTATAGATGAGGAACTGAGGCAAACAAGGTTAAATGACTTGCCCAAGGTCACACAGTTACGAAGTATCTGAGCGGGATTTGAACTCATGAAGATAAGCCTTCCTGATTCGAAGCTCAGTGCTCTATCCACTGTATCACCTTCTATAATTGATAGTAGTCAGCTAATATTTATAACAACAATAAAAAGATTAAAATGAATATAAAATTATTACCACTACCCAACAGTGACGAAATTCAGAACACACAAATAAAAATGCCACGTTTAATCCCATATAGAATACCTGGTTTTTTGGTGATAAAAACCACAAACCCTACTATGTCTACTTCGGCACAAGGGGGCTGAAAGGATGGATCTGCTAACTTGCTCAATGGCAGTGCTTCCCTTGGTTGATAAACTTGGAATAGAATTTCATGACAGACCTACAAAAAATGTTTTTAAACATTCAGTTTTCATAGGTTTCATAAAACTAATATAAATTTATTGCTATTGTAAAAATGAGAGGTAAAAGTTTTGTACCGGCAGCTGCTGATATTGAGTTTTCTTTGTTGAGGTTAATCGGATACGAGCTCTGTCAGATTTGCTTTTAGATGGTGATGTTGCCAGGTGGTAGATTCTGTATCGATTTCCCTCCTTTAGTAGGGAATATATATCTGATAATGGACGCCAGATGCTCAATATAACTATTTAAAAATAACATTTTAAAGTCAAGAACTGAGTTACATGAACTAAATTTTTGTAAAAAATGAACTTCAAAAAAAGAATTGGTTTAAGTTTTCATTAATTATGTTAATGATTATAATACTAACATTAATAATAATTATGTTAATTATATAAACAATACAATTCACACACCACATTTTCCATCTTCCATTTATAATTACTTAATCATAAAAGAGTTATGTAGCTTAAAGAAACTAATGAAAAACAATCAATTCATTTACATGTTCTCAATACTGACCTGAATCTTTTTCTTGTTTCTCATAGTTGACGACTCGTAATTTCCAAACCATAGTTACATCTCTTTTGGACAATCCTTGTTCCTCCAGTTCAGCAGCTGCTACAGCCTTTCTGAATTCTGACTGGAGCTGTGCTTGCTTTTTATCATTCAACATCTGCCTGTGATTATTCAAAGCTCTTAACTGCTCTTTACTGAAACAGCCCTGTGACCACAAAGAAAACTTCTTGTGTATGTACACATTTTAAAATGTTGACCAGAAAATATTTAGAATAATTTTGTAAAAATTTTAAAAAATTTTTCTTGCAACCAGTAGAGAAGACATTGGTTAGAGATTAAAACGTACTGAAAATTATTAAGTGTATCTTCTTTATAAGGTGGGTAAGTCCTGAAGGTAAGATCACTACATGATATAATAATATAACAACATAATTATTTGAGAAATTAATACCCTTGGAAGCAATAAGCTGTTATATTCTCTCAGTATTTGTAAAGTCTGGGTTTGAACCTTGTCTCTAAGACTTAGTAGCTGTGATTTGTAAGCAAATCATAAACTTGCAGAGCCTCAATGTTCTTATTTGTGAAGTGGAAATACAAACTATACTAGCAATCTCACTGGTCAAATGAGAAAATATATATATAGTTTACATAATCTACTTTGTAAACCCTGAAGTATTTTATAAATATTACCTGTTATTATGTTAACATCTCAAATATGGTCTAGTACACTCTGATGCTTTCCACCTATCCCAACACTGCTTGTCTGAAGTGCACTGTGATAATTATCATGAGGGAAATCACAATAGCACCTTACCCTAACACAAAACAAAATTTGCCTGGAACTTTAGCCACAACTTCTGAAAGGCTTCCAAGCACTGATTTAAATATATTACAGCAACAATTTCTTAAACCCCGAGTTTACTGATAGCAGTAAATGATGCTGCTAACTTACAAATCTCCTCTACTATAACTTCAGTTTATTAGGGAATAGGGTAGCTTAAAATTCAATGTGTCATAAAATTCTTTCTGACTAAAGATAAAATCCCTACTTCCAGAAAGATTACTTCTTAAACTAGGAATTTTCTGAAATTGCATATTTGGTGCTTTTTTCTTCCCAGAGTCAGGGCATCACTAAAAAATAGTAATATTTTTGTCAGGTTATTTTACATACAGGTAACTTATTGTTCCTATCAACAGCTACTTTTATAGCCATTACATTATTGTGAGGATCGGTTGAAAGAACTGGGGATGTTTAATTCAGGGAAGTCTCTGGAAGACGAGATATTTGTCTTCAAATATATGAATATATGACTATGTGGAAGACGAATTAAGACCTGTTTGGTTTGGCTCCAGAGTTTAACAAAAAGCAATGGATATCAGGTGCAAAAAGGCAAACATACTAGCACAACCACTACTGCTATTAACACTAAAGTAGCATTTTATATAGTGCCTTAAGGTTTACAAAATACTTCACAAGTATCTCATTTTATCCTCACAACAACCCTGGGAGGCAGATGCTGTTACTGTCCCCTTTTCATAAATGAAGAAAATTGGTGTCAGGATAAATTTTCTAAAAATTAGAGCTATCCACAAGTAGGTTGGCTGCTGCAAAAGGTGAGGAATCCAGTACACAAAGGTGTCTAGTACATAACAGTAGGGATTTTTTTTTCAGGTATGGATTAGGTCAAATAACTGTTAAGATAAATTGTTTCTTCCAACTCTAAATTTTGTGATTATGTTTTAATTTAAGGCAGCTAGGTGACAGAGTGGGTCCTTGCCAGCAGGAAGCAGTTTCAGAAGCCAAGACCTTCGCCCCTTACCCCAAAAGAATTTATGTCCCATTTATTTGAGGAGGGAATGATGAGGATGGGATCTAGACCCCAAAAAGGAAAAACCCTGGACTTTCCCACAAGGCCAAATTTCTGGCGTTAGGCTAAGGCTGATAATCACATCAACTGGCATTTCATTGTGGCTACAACCAATCTCCCAATTCTCTTAACCTAGCCTAGCCCTCCACTGTCTTACCTCCCTATGACCCTAGGCCATTTCCCACCCTTAATCCTAGGCAGGAATCCACTCTCCCTTGTCCATGTGGTCCAGGACCCAGGCTTTCTGTTCACCCCAGTTCCCACTGTCTTTCAGTATACAAAGTCCATCTTGTCTTTAATAAGGTGCTCAGATTCTTAAAATCTAGCCAATAGCTCACTAATGTTCAGACTCCTTAAGAGTCTAGCCAATATGGCAGATGTTCTAATAAACCTTTTCTTGGGCAGGAAAAAAAAAAGATTCTTAGGATCTTTCTACAGGTGAGGAAACTGAAGCTCAGAGAGATTAAGTGATATATCCAAAGTCATATGGTAAGTTAGCGGCACTGTCCAGACTATGGCCTTCTGACTCACAGCATGGGCTCCTTTCCAGTCTTTTTCATTTCATGAACAATACACATGCAAACTTCAAGAATTTTGGTGAGATGTTTTTGTTAAGTTTAAAAATTTAATACAGTTAAAAATATTTTAAGTATGATTTCTACAAAGCATGTCAAGCAATTTAGTGAAAGTAATAATACTTTCTTGATATGAGAGGCAAATTGTTTTCAACAAAGTCAGAATTTATACTTTCAGCATTTGTATCAGTACACTTTCCAAAGTGGACTCACTTCTTACAAGGAAAAAACCCATAGAGACTGAACACAGGCAAATGAAGTAATATTACCAATTTACTTAGCAATAAACAGTGAAGTAGAAAAAACCCAATGACTGGCAGTTTAGAAGGAAAGCTGGGCTCTAATCTCTGCTCTGCCTCTAGCTGTGTGACCATGAGCAGGTCACAATAGAGAATGGCCTCAGTTGTTTCACAACCTATGGTCTGATCAAGAAAAACAGTGAGCTTTGGCAACTGATTTGCTATGTGGGATGAAGTAAATTGTCAAAGATTATGCTGAGATTATGAATCTAAGAGACCTGAAAGATAATGGTGCTTGGGACACATACAAGGAAATTTGAAAGAAAGAAAGGTTTTGGTGAAAGATAATGGGTTTAGTTTTGGACATATTGAGTTTGAAATGCACATGGGACACCTAGTTTAAAAAGTCCAAAGGGCAGTTGGAAGTGGAGTGAGTGTGCGTGCCCATGGCTACACATAAGAAAGCTGAACCCACTGGAGCTGATGAGATCACCACGAGAAAATGTAGAAGAAGAACAGAGACCCTAGAACAGAACTTTGGGAAGTAGCACTATTAGGAGTCATGATATGGATGGTGAGGCAGCAAAGGAAAATGAAGAGGGAGACCATTAGGAAGTGAACTAAGAAAAAGGCAGCCCCATTAATACCCAAAGGAGACAGTATTTAGGAGCAGTGAGAGAGGGTATGATTCAGAATGCAACCTACTATAGAAGAGAGGAGATTGGATCAAGTGAACTTGAAGAGGCGCTAGCCTTAGCAAGGAGAAGGGTGTTTGGTCACCAACTTGGAGAAAAGAGGAGTAAGAGATTATGCTGAGGAGTTCTGAAATAAAGAGAAGAGGATAAGAGCGTGTTCACACTGAACAGCTTCAATTTTCTTGGTAAAGTAAGAATCAAGGGGAGGGGGAGAGGTAGAAGAAAAGCTGGGGAGAACATAAAAAGTCTTCATTGCTGTAGTAAGGGCCCAGCTGAGGTTGGATAACGTGAATTTTTAACGTACTTAGCATGATTGTGAAACTTCTTCAGCTGTTTTCAGTTGGAGTGGAGGAGGAAGGTAGCAGGAATAATCCAGGGCTGAGGTTTGGCAAGATGCGAATGGCAACAGGACAAGGGGACAAGGACTTGGAGAGCAGAGGACAGTGTAGAGTTGAAATCTTTAACTATCAGATTGAGATTAGAGATTAGATTCAACGAAGTCAGGGCAGGAGTATTCTTGAACAAGTGCTGAGGGGTGGACGGACTGGACATGAAGAATGGGTTCATGAGGGGTGAGGTGTAGGGAGAGGTAGAGTGGGAGGTTATGGTCAGATAAGGGAAATGACTCAGTTTCTAATTAGAAAAGTTGGACGACTGTGGGTAATGTTCAGATCTTGTGTGTGACCATCCCAATTTGTGGATAAAGTGGAGCAAAGCAGTAGGTCATGGGATTCAAGAAGGCTGAAGAATTGGGGTGCCTAAGGGTTTTGAGGTAGCATCTCTGTAAATATTACAGTACAAAGTAAACATTAGTACAAAGGCAAGAATAAGAGGAAAGGAAGATGGTGATGAAGGTATTCCTTGTGAAAAAAAGAACGACTTGAGGGTAAGTATACCACAGTCACCATAATTTGGATTGGAAGGAAAATTTTGATTGAATAGAGGTCAAAAGAGGAAAGACGAATAAGAATTATAAGGAAAACCTAAAGCAAATGAAATTAAGGGAAGATTTATATATAAAGCATCTGTAGGGTTGCTATCTAGGAGAATGGTCATCAATAGTTCTCATCCACCAGCTATCCTTCCACTTTTAATCCCTGGCAGCCAGACCCTGAAATTTAGCTTCTTACTGCTACCTAATTCAAGAAATTACATCATCTTTCTTAGACTCCCCAGGGGGTACCATATATTCAATTACTATTTTAATGCATGAAGGAATGGAATTGATGCAGTTTTCTAAAGTGCCCAAAGTTCCCATCTTAGACGCTAGAGTAATTGGGCTTATCATCTAAATCACTCACCTCAATGTAAGCTGGATCTGGGGCATTCTTAACTGCTTCATAAAGGTCTGCACCATCTTGTAGAGCACGAACCTGCTGTCTTGTTAAAATACGTGATAGCCCAGGGTGTGTTGCACTATTTTCTTTTAAAAAAGATAAATACAATTGTCAGTAATGTACATTCATTTATTTACAGCTTTTAAAAATAAATTGTAAACTAGTGAACCAAGTGACATATTGAATACTCCAAAAGCTACATATACAAAAACCAGAAAGTAATTTTATATTAAAATTACAACTACTCCTCTAATAAAACCAAACTGGCCATCTCATTCATTTGATAGTAGTACATTTACTACAGAATAAAAAGGAAAGAATTTATTTATGTAAATATACAGAAAATAACAATGATCTAGTGAGATATTTTAAACCAATGATATCCCTGTTATTTTCTCTAAGATGTACAAATCAGTATTATAAGAAAACATGAAGATTAAACAAAATCTTCAAACAAATAAAAAAAGTAGATCTCCATATATATGGTGGAAAAATTCACCTGCTGCTTCTTATTATTGCTGACTGGATATATAAACCAGAAATAAATATGGATGTGGAGATTAAAACGCTGTACCAACAAGAAATATAAGGAAAAGCTAAAGAAACGTTGACAACAATAATCTCTCCCTCTGCCCTTCAGAAACTGTAGTTCAGGGGTGAAGGGATAAGGACAGGAGGGGATCATTAAAAGTGAGAGAGAAAGAACACAAAGAAATATTCTGTAAAAACTCTAACCAGAACTGCAGGAAAAGACTATGGAATGGCCACAGGCTGCCAGCGTGGCTGAAAGGCCTATTAAAAGAACTGAAAGAGAGGAGATGGCTCAGAAAAGGTAGGCCCCAAGGAAAAAGAACTGAAAAAAAAAAACCCCAAACAGAATTCAAAATTCAAGATATGTTAAAGTCAAAAGATGGAAAAACTGGACAAACATAATAAACTGACTATCAAAAGCTACTGACCTGGAAAATAGCACGGAAAGAGAATCTAAAAGTCACTAGGCTCCCACAGAATGATGAAACAAAAAACTTGATGAAAACAAAAAATCTAATTTCAAGACAATCCAATAATTGTTTGTTAAACTACTCCATGCTGGGCATTGTGCCAAGTGAATGAGATACAAGGAAAAAAACAAAAAAAGTTTCTGTCCTCAAAGGAGCTTATATTCGATTGGGAAAATGGACGGAGCACTGGACATACTGATTATTTAGAATTGACAGTGATGAAGGAAAAAACAGAGAGGGAAGAGAAGGGAATAAGCATTTATACAGCACCTACTATGTAACAAGCACTTTTACAAGTATTATCTCATTTGATTCTTACGACAACTCTGGGAGGTAGGTGCTATTATTGTTCCCATTTCACAGCTGAGGAAACTGAGGCTAAGTGACTTGCCCCAGGTCATACAGCTGTGAGGCCAAATTAGAACCTGCATCTTCCTGACTCCAGGCCCAGTACCCTATCCACCAGTTGCCTCTAAAAACAGCAAAAAGAATCAATAAAACTAAAATATTTGTGAAAAAAATTATTCACAGGATCATAAAATCAGAGCGAGGTGACACGCCCTCATTTTTGTAGATGACGAATTGAGGCCCAGAGATAGCAAGTGACTTGCCTATGATCACAAGGAAGTGGCAGAATCAGGATTTGAATTCAAACCTTCTAACTCCAAACTCAACACTCTTTCCACTGCACTTTCTCCTGGTCCTCTCCAAACTTCAGAAGGAAGAGGAGTAGCGAAACAGGACCTCCCATTTGACCATGTACCTGCCATCTTTTTTTTTTTAGTAGTAGTTTAATTTTTCCCCAATTACATGTAAAATTTTTAAATTTTTTTTTTTAACTTTGAGTTCCAAATTCTGTCCCTCCTCTCTCTGAGATAAGCAATACAATGTAGGTTATATATGTGTAATTACATAAAAACATATTCCATATTAGTCATTTTGTGGAAAAAAGAAAGAGAGAAGAGAGAAAGGAAGGAAAGATGGAAGAAAGAACGAATTCAGACTCCATCACTTCTTTCTCTGGAGGTAGATAGCATTTTTCAACATGAGTCCTTTAGGACTGTCTTGGATCGTTGTGTATTGCTGAGAATAGATAAGTCCTTCACAGCTGTTCATCATACAATAGCACTGTTACTGTGTACAATGCTCTCCTGATTCTGTGCCCTTCACTCTGCATCAGTTCATGTAAGTCTTTCAGGTTGTTCTGAAATCATCCTGCTCATCATTTCTTATAATGTGCCTTCCATCTTTTCATGTGCTTGTCTCCAGCCTGATTTCCAGCCTCCCCTGGGATACAGTAATGGCACCTTCCACTTAACAATAATCATTCTCACATCTGGCCATACCCTACACATCCCAGGGAATCTGAACCCCTGCAGGTCATCATCCAAACGCCATTCCGGCCTTATTCCCATCCCTTTCAACTAATCTCCTTCCCCACAGTCCACTCATTCCCTCCACTGGACCCTTTGGAATGAATGTTTAACAGGCAACATCCTTCTGTTCATCCTAAATCTTTTCTTCTCTCACTCCTTCCACCTTCTAGCTATCACTGAAACCTGGCTCCCCATTGATGACATGGCCTCCTGAGCTACTTTTTTCCAATACTGGCTACACCTTCATTTATTCCCCTCAGCTGTCTGGTAGAGACAGTGGGATTGAAATAAAACTCCTTGCTCCTCACTGCCACTTTCAGGTTCCTCCTCTACCTCCATCATTCCGTAACTTCTCATTTGAGGTTCATGCAATCCATATGTACCACTCAATCAAAACCTGGCACTAGCCCTCAAGGTTACTCTCCTTCCTTTCTCAATGAGTTTGGCACAAGCCTCACAACTTTCTCTCCTCCCTACCTCATACCTTCATACTTAGGGACTTCAGCATACATACTGACTCTGCCTCAAACATCCTAACCACTCAGTTCCTCAACCTACTTACTTCCCATGAGATACTCTTCCACCCAACCTCAGGCACACACAAAGATGCTCACACCTTTGATATTGCTATCACCCACAAATGTACCACCTCCAATGTTGAAAAATTCCCAGCCCCCCTTATCTTGGCCATAATCTATTGGCTTTCTACCTTTCCTTCTGTCTTCACTTAAACCTACTCTTTGTCCCTACCATGAACTTCAATCCCTCAATCTCTAGGTTTTTTCTCAGGCCAATTCCCCTGCACTAGTCACTTTCTCCTCTTTTTCCCATATTCACCCTTTGGTGAATCAGCTCAACTCTAAATACACGTCCTCTTCTTTTGAGTCTCAAGCCCTCTTAATATTTCACTGACCGCACCCTGATGAACCTCAGCCTTGGATCATTTTCACTACGTACAGCCTTACATATGTACTGCTGAAATGAAGATAAAAAAATCATGCAGCTGTTCTCTCTAGATCTACTACAACTTTGTTATAAAACCTCAACTGCGCCCTCACTGCTACTAGGCAATTCTACCACACCTCCTTTTCAAATCACTATCCCACTCTCCACAGCTGCTCTTCCAAAATTTTTTATCCTTCCTCAAACCTCCCATGATTTCCCCTCCCCCCACCATCAGCTGAGAACCTTGCCTCATATTTTACAGAAGTCAGAGGCAGCCACCGGAGTTTTCTGAGCAAGGGAGTGACATGTCAGATCTATGCTTTAAGGACATTGCTCTGGCAATTAGTAAATTTACAAACCCCATATAAATATGACAATTTTGAACTAGCTCCCTGAAAATTTTACATAGCTAAAGAAGAAGGGAAAACTAACTAGAATACTAAGCATCAATGGGGCAGCTAGTTGGAGCACTGGATAGAGCAGTGGCCCTGGAGTCAGGAAGACCTGAATTCAAATCTGACCTCAGACACTTCCTAGCTGTCGACCCTAGGCAAACCATTGAACCCTGTATGCCTCAATTTCCTCATCTGTAAAATAAGCTGGAGAAGGAAACAGCAAACTACTCCAGCATCTTTGCCAAGAAAACAACAAATGGGGTCAAGAAGAGTCAGATATGACTGAAAAAAAAACCAAACACCAACAAGCATAAATAGATTGACCAATTTCAAGATGGTAGAAAAACTTATAAACCCTTCCAATAACATCAAGAGAAATTGTCAGCTGTGTGACCCTGGGCAAGTCACTTAACCCCACTGCCTAAAACAAAAACAAAAACAAAAAAAAGAGAGAAAAATTGTCCAATTACCAATGTTAAAATTAAAATTCCCAACAATTAATATATTTATATCAGTAAGTAAAATTTTGAAATAATCTTTACCTTCATGTTTTTCAAATTCTGCTTGTATTTTTGTAAGTAAGGCTTCCAGTTTTTTTTGTTGACATTCCGCATGTTTTAAAGCTTCCTTTTCTTCTGCTCGTTCATTACGGAATATATATAATCCAGATACCGTCTTCTCCATCCACTGGAATGTGTTACATAAAATATCTACATTTAATTTTTAAAATCCAGCTTCTATACATTCTATCACATTTCTAAGAAAGGTTGAAAGTTATAAGGTAGGACAGTCTATATTATGGAAATGGCAGGAGACTTTTGTTTAGTGAAGATGTATAAATATACAGTTGATCCTCATATTTGGGGATTCCATACTTGTAAATCCGCCTACTTCTAAAATTTATTTGTATCCCCAAAAATAAATACTTGCTGTGTTTTTGCAGATGTGAACAGAGTGGGGAAAAATTTGAATCTTGTGATGTGCATGTTCCTACCTGAGGTTAAACAAGGTAATGCTCTGCATTCTTATTTCAGTTTTCATACTATAAAATAAGAACTCTTTTCAAGGTCTATTTAGTGCCATGTTTTTTCACATCTTTGTGTTTTTTTGTTCGTGATTTCACTGTTTAAAATGATCCCCAAGAATACTGTTTAAGTACTGTCTAGCATTCTCTGGCACAAGAAGGCTGTGATATGTCTTATAGAGAAAATATGTGAGCTGGATAAGCTTTGTTCAGGCACGAGTTATGGTACTGTTAGCCATGAGTTCAGTGTTAATGAATCAACAACACAATCCAGAAAGTGCTAAAGTAAATGTTGTGACCAAAGGCTCACAAGGAACCTAACCCTATGTTTCCCCTAGAAGCAATGGTTTGGCATCTGCTAATTCAGTATTCATGGTGACTTTATAGACTATAATTTCCACGAATGATGAGACTTGCTGCATTTCTGTGTGCAGCATGAAGAATATTTAAATGAATTCAATGGGAAGTATTCAGCTTGTGTCATACCTGGGTAGGATAAGCTCTTTGAATAACTATATCAACACAGCCAACATTTCCGCCTTCGCCGAAGAGTGATGATAAGGGCAGTGGAAAAGGTCTGGGATCTGAAAAGAAGCCCAGTTTGGCATACCAACAAGCAGGTCGAGTGCTGTTAGCTGAAAGCTGGATAAATTGAATGTGAATAAATTAAAAGTTCTCAAAACAAAAGAAACTGATTGTAATTGTTCTTTTTTTTGGCCTATATTCAATTTTTCAAAATAGACATTGCATTTGTGTGGGTTTATATAATCAGAAGTGCAAAAGGGGTGCTCCATCCTAGCCTTGTTGGATCAATCCTTTGGTTGCCTACTTCCACTGGAGCAAAAGTTATACTGAGGTAAGACAACAGAGAGGAAGCTGGTAAGATGGCAGCAAGGGGAGAGCTGAACCAGAACATTTGATCCAAAATTTGCTAGTGCTTTCCTTGTTACAACTGAATTTTAAATAGGATAGCTGATAGATAGTTGAAATAGGAAATATTCTTTACTTTCCCAAAAGTTTTAAAGAGTCTTAAATTAAAAGTTATTTTTCCACTCAGCTTATCGAACAAAACAACTTATACTTTTGAATAGGTTGTCATTAAATAAAATTTATCAACATTAGAATTAAAAGCTCAACAATGCAGAACTTCTCTTTAGTTAAATTTTACCAATAACTTCTTAAAAATCATGAGTAAGATTTTCTTTACCTTTAACATAAGAGATGCTGGAGCTTCAAGAGGTGTGCAAGCCTCCTGAGAGCCTATCAGTTCTGCTCCATGGGTTATAATCTTCTGACCGACAGTCAATTTACCCCTGTGTAACAGAGCTAAGAGGGGAGTGTCTAACAGTGCCTTGATTGCATACCATCCATCTGTAACTTCTATAACTGCTGATCTTTTTTTGGTGTCCACATTATTGTTTTTACTGTTGGCAGTTATAGATGTATTTGTGCCTGATGAAATTATTTCAGAAACACAAAGCACCAGTGTTTTTGCAGCTGTTTCATCTCTTTCCATTATCTTTTTAAGAGCTGATCTTCTGCTCTTATCAATTTCTATGTCATATCTAAAAAGATACAATATTAAAAAGCACAAGTTTTATGTTTGGTGAACTAGAAAGTCATGAGGGAAAAATAATCACCCTACAATGAAGAACTAAAACATACCCTACAGAAACACTGCTAGGAATGATAAATTTAGCCTTCATGCTAAATTTGGTAATTCATATTTTAATCATTTAAATATAAATACAAGTAAAAATTATATAAAATTAAAACAGTACTGCTACTATAGAGTCATTAGCATTGCAAAATTATTTGCTAGATTGGCCATTCATATTCTTTTGGCGTTTCAAAAGGAAAGGATTTTATAATAACTTGGAATTTTGTATCATGTGATGATTGTCATCAGTGAGAAGAATGACAATGACGGCAATGACTCTCACACGCAGGAAGAGGATGAGCTGTAGTGCTACCCAGTATATGTACCAATGAAAATCTAAGTGCTGCCTTCTCTCGCATGTACTGTCCAAAATGTCAATCTCTATATCATCAACACTGCTGCTTTATATTTACCTATATTTCAGTTGCAGAAGTACCCGTTCTGGAGTTAGGCACCTACTAGCAAATTCCTTAGGAAAGGTAAATTCCATAGCTGCCAGTTTCCATATAATCCATCTATAGTGGTTATATACCCAGGTTTTAGTAATAAGTTTTGGATCAACACCAGGAGTATCACACAGAGCCCTGCACATAAAATGGATTGAAAAATAAAAGCGGATAATGATTTACCTGCACTAAAAATACCACACAAAAAAAATCCTATTGTATATTTGTAATATAGAAATAATTTAAGTTCAGAAATTATTTGGCACCAGAATACTGAGCTAATAACCATTGTATTTAAGCAATATAACTATTTTGAGTGATATTCTTATTGTTGAAACTTTGGAAGTATGAAACCAGTAATGAAGATGGTGAGCCCTGGCCATGGAGAACCATGAGGTTCTGGGAGCCATAGGTTCAAGGCCAGGTAAAAAGAAAGTTGGGCCAAGGAAGGCAGAAGTAAGAACTGACTCAGTGAGAACTATGACTGGTCCAGGGCATCAAAACCACTAAGAAAAGTGGTGTAACAATCACCACTTAAGACAGATCCAGTTAATGAACACAAAGTGTGTGGGATCCAATGATCACATGACACTGTCAGGCTTTCAAGAGGGTCCATTGCAGGGCTTACCACCAATGACTATGCCAGCATTTCTAATTTGTTTTCCCTTGGGGAGAAATTAATACAATGATAAGGGAACAGAAAGAGCTCTGTACTTGGGAGTCAGGAAGACCTGACTTCAAATCCTCCCTCATATACTTCCTAGCTCTGTGACCCTGAGCAAGTTGCTGAACCTTTCCCAGCCTTGGTTTCCTCATCTGTAGGATAACAGCACCCACCTCTCAGTGTTGTTGAAAAGAAAAATGAGTATAGCATATAAAATGCTTTGTAAATCTTAATGCTTCAGCTTCCTTCTAGAGAGCTGTACGTCAAAACAAAGGTATTTCTCTATATCTTTTTAAAAGTTCACATACGAAAGTAGTTTTTTGTAAAAAGTTGTCTTTGGGTTTTTTTTCTTAAAGGCTGGGCTTTTTCTTTTTAAAGTAAAGATGATCTTTAAAAAAAACTTTAACAAAAATCAACTGTTTTTGGATTTAAATGCTAAAATCATTAACTATAAAATAACTTTTAGACTCTTTATAAAAAAACAAAATGACATTTTTCAGAGTTAAACTAAATTTTAAAGATCTTACTTTTAAAGGATTATTTAGTATTTTTTGCTTAACAGAAATATAAAATTACAGTGACAAATTGGTAGTGAATGATAACAATAAGGAATATTGAGGAAATATTTGTAAAACAATATTTCTATATTAAAATTTAGTTTTAAAATGGAGTAAAAGAGAAAATATTCTAGAACCCTCCACAAATACAAATTCTAGAAAGAGATACAGATGCTAAGAAATATGGCCCTGTAAAATAAACATCCTATCTCCTGTCAACTATCAGACAGAGGGTATACAGAGATTCAAAAAATAATAAGAAATGAAGATAGGAGAAAACCTCCCATTCTTGAGATAAATATGAAGAAGACATAAATTGATGCCATTTAACTTCTCCTGTGGTCCATTTCATAATATTATTGAACTTTAAAAGTCAGAATACTATGCATATGCCAGAGAAGACCTCCATTTCAGCCATAAGTAGCTCCTGGGATAAATGAAATAACATTAGCTGAATGAGAATAGAACCATCACACAAACAACAGAAGTCTTTCAAACAAAATTTATAATTTATTTCATGATGGTCTAGAAGGACTTTTTTTACTTAATAGCTTTTACAAGTGCGGCAATAAATCAATATACACTCAGGATATGTCAGCTAGTTTCAAACTTTCTTAACATTATTTTATTTATGAAGTTTACACATGGTATATAATGATCAATTTACACAACTGCAGAATTCATTCAATTAATTCAACACATACTTCTTTAGCATCACTATTCTCTGCGAAAAATTATTTTCTATTATATTAACCAATTAAAAATTAGGATTAAGGTTTTTCCCTTTATTTCCTTATTCAGGGGCTAGTCCCTATAGATTAGTCAGTTAGTCTCTGAAGGAAATTACTGATAGATGAGACTGCCCAAATCCTCCAGGTACATGCTCTGCAATCTTAGGCAGTACCCCCCCCCCAACTAGAAGACCTTACAAAAAGAATCTAATTTGGTGAATTCTTGCCCTTAAGAAGGCTGCCCTTGCAGCCCCCCACTGGAGTTTAGGGTAACCCAGCTTATGATGGAGAAAACCAAGCACAGTGATCTGGGTAGAGATGGATTCCTTTGTTCATACTGCTGGAGGCAGTTGAGTCTCATGAACAAGTCACATTCTCAGCAGGAACAGTTTAAGACTTTTAGCCCACCTCTTTATTAATATGTTTACCCCCTCATTAACTGTTCACCAATCAGGATTGATTTTCACCTGTCAAGGGCACCTCCTTTTTCAAAGGGATTTAAGCACTCAGGGATCTCCATGGTTTTGTCTTTGGTTACTAAGAGAGACCACTGACCATCAATTTACTGATTATTTCCTAGCCTAATTAATACATTGATTATTAATTACCCAGAAACTCTATCAGGCTGTTTATTTGTCTCATTTAAGCACTGTGCTAGGCACTAAAGGAAATACTAAAATTTAGCATGAAGTATTAATTCCTGTTTGACATTTAAAGCCATTCACAACCTGGCTCCAATTCCTTTTCTAGCCTTAATATACATTATTCCCTTTACACACTTTACGGTACAGCCAAACTGTCCTTTTCTTTCTGTTCCTCACATATGGCATTCCATCACCCATTTTCATGATCTTGCACCATACCTGGAATTATACGTCCTCCTTAACTCCACCTCACAAAATCCTTGTTTTGTGAGGTGATAAGTATTTATAGCTCTCTACCACTCTCCTCTGTGACATATTACAAATGAATTTATATTCTAAATCGGTGTTGCCATTGACTGCCAACTCTCTTTTTGCCCAATGAGGAAGTTTTTTAGGGGGCTCTTTTGATTTCCTCTTTATGGCAACTGAATGATGCCTGTTAATTTCTATATAAAATTTTTAGTCAATGTTGATATAGTTTTCTCTGTCCATTTCTCATTTTTCAGCATCAACTATTTCTTTAAAAGGTCAGATTGGACTTGTATTAATTGCATATTTTTTCTTATTTGCAACTCTGAGCCCCCATATCCTGTACTCTGCCACTCTGTCTCCATTAGTATAGAAGATGAAAGCAGTCACCTAGAACTAAAGGTCACACTGTATTTTTCTCTGTGTCATGGGCTGCCATGGCCAAAAAGTTAATCACAAATAGTTGGCCCACTAGTGATAAGATGAACTTCTCTGAATTTAGCTAAGCTGGTCCTTGGAAAACATGTGTATTTCCAGGACCATATTTGAAACCTACCCTGCATAGCAGAAATTACCAAAGTATATGCTTTATTGGCATATCTTTTGAGAAGTCTGTGCCACCTTCATGCCACGATGAAGCACTGGGATAGGATTTTGTGGAAACTTGTTATTAGTAGTTTATTTTTAAAGTATGTTGACATCTTGCTTGGATTTTAATAGCTCCAAATGGCATCCCAAATGTTGGCAGAGAGTGTGTGGTGTGTGTAAATATGTATATATATAAATTATCTATTTCAAGTATTATTTAATCAAGAATAAACTGACACTAGACTATATAGACAATAAATATGCTGTATATGGAAACCAAGCTCTATTAAACATATGACTATATACTATAAAAAATGTATACACCAATTCAAATCCTACTTTAAGAAAATCCAACATAATACTCACTAGTTGTGACTGGGCAAGTCACTTAACCCCCTTGCCTAACCAAAAAAAAAAAAGAAAAGAAAGTCCAATATAGGAAAAACACTTATTAAATCCATAAAGTACCAGGTGATTAGGTTAAAAAACAAACAAACACCACCACAAGGTTTTTAACCATACAATTCCTGTAAATATTAAATATACCAGTACTTTTAAAATTATTTAATGCATAAAAAAATCTGATTTAGAGCCAGTTTTCAGGTTTGGTTTTTTTTAGTGGTATAAAGATTTCAGGGATGAAATTCCCTCTATTAACAAAGACCAGCACCTGCTCTATGACTTATAATCTTAGAAAGCAGGGGTCCTAATAGGTTAAATGGAATTCTTCAGCAGTATGACTACTTGGAGAGATGGAAGAGAGGAGTGATTGTCACTGATTGAAAAAAGATGTAGAGAAATGCAGACTATGATGACAGATCTAGAGGTGGAAGGGACCTTTGAAGCCTTCTGGGCCTACCCTCTCAATTTATAGACAAGAAACCTGAGGATCAGAGCAGTTTGACAAAGTCATGTGCTAGGTCCTGAAGTATGAAATTTAATTAAAACTCAATCCTTGCTTTCATAGAGCTAAGTCTACAAGAGACACAAATATAAAAAACTATAATGCAAGAGAAAATGTAATAGGAAAATTTTTATTATAATTTTATAAGTATTTATTAAAAGAGATACAGAAATAAAATTGTGACAGTATAAATTACGCCATCTTCTTAACCTTAAATTAGACAGCCTGATGAATTTTGTATATGATTTTCTAAGAGACATCATGTCTGTGTGAAACAGGGGTAACAAATATCTAGTGTCTACCTTGCAAAGTTATGAAGCTTAAATGTAACAATATACGTAAAACATTTTGGAAACTAAAGCGCTATATAAATAGCAGTTGTTGTTCTAAGTAACAGAACCAGAATTGAAACCCAGGTCTTCTGACTCCAAATGCAGCACTCTAAGGTACCACACTACCTTTTGAGTGGTTAATGCAAAACCCTCTACAAAACTAGGATACCTGTAAAATTCTTCTTTTCCAAGCTTTCCTTCATCAGTAGGTATGAGCCATCCACCATCAGCCAGTTGTATTCCATTTCCATCCAACAAATACTCCTTACTAAAGTAATCTTGACTGTGAAATTTGAAAGACTCTGCATTTCTGCTGTTAATCCTCAGGCACTGTTTAGAAACCCCATACATATACAACTGTTAAGAAAAAAGGGTAGTGAGTAAGATTAGTATACGGAATATTTTAAAAATTACATGACTACAAAATTATAGCAAACAACTGAATTTACAATAAATCTTAATATATCAAGTGTAAAATCTTTCATTAGAAAGAAGAGGTATATATAATGATCACAGAAATACTACAGGAAGACTGACTCACAAATAATCTACATTTACAAAAAACTGTATTCAGTGTTCTATTGTCTTCATTGTTGGTATCACTGGTTTATTTTTCATAGGAATTACAGCTTAAAAAACACAACAAAACAAACAAAAAGCTCAAAATAATGCTTTTTGAGAATCTCTGACTTTGAAATGGTGGAAAGGAGGAAGCTGTTAAAAAGTAGGAACGGGTTAAGAGGCCCAAACTCAGAGGTTTGGCGTTAATGCAAATATGACATGCTTCACTAAAAGCACTGTCCATGGCATCATGTGATTTTTTTCACTTGATTTTGTTGCGCCAGATAGATTTTACTAATTAGAGAGTCATTTGAGCTAACAAGCATCTTCTTCAGCTATCAGTTATCCATGCAATGAAGCATGGTTCCATCAGATTGCTAAGACCTTGATGAACACAGCTATACTGAAAGAACAGAATTTTGACCAGGGTCCTGTCAGTTGGGCCTCTGCCTTAGTGCTTATAACTTCTCCCTCCTTTTTATTCTTAAAACAACAACAAAAACCTCAACATTCTTATGATCACCTTCCTGGATTACTGCAATACCCTTATACTTGACTTCTCTCTTCCTTTCCAATCCATACTTCACACACACAAAAACAGGCTTTTATTGACAAGCCTAAGAATCTAACCATCATTTAAAATATTATTTTAATGAAAAATTCAAGAATTACAAACAACCAACCTTCAAGTGAACCTTGGGAACCCAAAATGTCTGGCAACTGGTACTAAGTCCTCAGTGCTCATATGGTCCAACCCACACTTCAAAAACCCCCGAGCCTAATATGCACGGTACCCGGGTTTCCAGCCTCTGCTTGAAGATTTCTAAAGAAGGGGGGAAAGGGGAATATCACCTCTCTAGGCAGACCTTTCCACTGTTAAAAGACTAATTTTTAGGGAGTTCTGTCTAACCTAAATTTGCCTTTTTGCAACTTCTATCCATTGCTTCTTGGCTGTTTGCTGGGGCTAAACTGAATAAATCTAATCTCTTCTCTGTGATAGCCTTCCAGATACTTTAAGACACCTATCAAGTCCCTGTTGAGTCTTCTCTTTCCCAAATTAAATGCCCAATTGCTTCAAATTCTGACCAAGTGGCATGTACTCAAGGCCCTTTACCATTCTAGCTGCTATCCCCTGGACACTCTCCTGTCTTTCTTAGACCATGGCACGGTAACTGAACATAATACACTGCATAAAGTCTAGGGGCAGAGGACAGTGGAAATAGCACTCCTGGAAACTATGCCTTTCTTTAAAGCAGCCCGAGATTGCATTAACTTTTTTGGCTAACATATCACATTGCTGACTCATATTAAATTTGCAGTCCATAGAAATCTCTGTTTCTTTTTCAGGACTACTATATTATCAGCTTTCATTCTGTACTTAGGAAGCTTACTTTTTATACCCAAGTTAAAGACTTTCCACTTATCCTTACTGAACTTCATCTTAATAGATTCAACTCAATGCTCCACTTTCCCAAGATCTTTTGGATCCCATTTTCCAATGAGTTAGCTATCCTTTTCAGCTCAAAGTCATCTGCAGATCTGATGAGTATGCTATTTATGTTTAAATTAGTGACAAAAATGTTAAATAATACAGGACCCAGCAGAGATCCTTGAGGTACTTCACTGCGGACCTCCTGCCATGCTACCACTGAACCACTAGCAGGTACTTTTTGTAGCAGTCTTGCCATCCAAGAAGTTCTGAATTCATCTAACTGTATTACTGCCTAGTCCACATCTCTCCATTCAACTATTTGAAGATTTTGATTTGAGGTAATATTCCTATTGTACACATTTAAAAGTGACCACAGAAGTAATCACATGAGGTAATAAAGGAACTAGAAACAGAATCCTTAGACTTCCAACTTTCATTTCCTTATCTCAAACTTAATTGTTTCTTCACAACTTCAGTTATAGTTACATCACAGTTCAGTTGTCTAGGTGATTTCCAAATTAATACAAATAAATCTTTAATGACAATTTCACTTATCCGTGTTCTTTAAAAAAATTTGCTGATAATCATGTGAAACTATTAGCAATTCACACAAAAATATACCTGTTTACTGGAATAAGTAGAGGGAACTCTGCCTTCCACTGCTATTTTGAGAGATATCCTAGGAATAGAAGATGTTTTTGTAAGATACAGACTGCCTGCCTGTGGATGAATCTGTTGAGTCTGTTTCTTTTTAATTCTCATATCTTGCATCTCTCTGGCATTCTGAAGATTTTCAATCATCTCTATTAAAAGAAAAACACCAGGAAAAAAAAAATCTAAAATGGTTTTCCAATTATAAAACAATCCAAAATTTTCATTTATATTAATAATAAAGAATCATTATATTTTAATATCTTCTTAAACAGCAAGAACATTTTCATTAAATTTGAGCATCCACAATCTTTAACATTTGGAATGGATGAGAAAAGTTCAAGTAAGAAATCCCTAAAAGGAAAAAAGTTTTTTGTACTTTGGAATTTTGTAATTTGGAAAGAAAATTAATAGACTGCTGAATGACACATTTAAGTATAAAAGTTTCAATTGGAGGATTCCATATTGATGTTTTAAAAACTGAAATTTAAAAATACTTTTAACATTTATAAATTACTGAAACCAACTCCATAGCCATAATAACATTTAAACAGTGAGGAAAGCACAGAACTCCCTTAACCATTGTTTGAAATGGAAAACATAAGATAATATTTAGAAGAGTACCTAATTTAAAAGCAAAAACAAAACCACACATAAAATACCTAGGTTTGAGTCTCCACATTCTTCAAAAACACCAGATGTTGCTTGATCCGCATTATCTTTGCCAGTGAAATAACTTTCGTTATTTTCACTAACTTCAGTATTACGTCCATCTATGCATTTTTGCTTCTCATTTTCTTGTGTGTTCTCCTTTACCTTCAGCTTAAGTCTCTTACTGACATACTGCTCATCTGTTGAAGAGTCTGACTTAGTTTTGAATGGTGGAACAAAGACTTTGGCAAGCTTGCCTACAACAGTCTTGGATTTCATCTTTCCATTATCTGTAGAGGAAACTATATATGATGGACTTCCCAAAAGTAACTTATAGCTTGAATTTTCCAAAGTCTGGTGTTTTAAAAAGGGAGATTTTGACGGAAATCCTTGATCAGGTGCAGTAAAATTGGGATGCCGCATTTCTTGCCGTTCCTTAGTTGTGCTACATAGAAGCAAAATATTTTTGTTTTATTATTTTTTATACTTCTATTGCTACCTTTTGTTTTTTACAGTGTATTAAGTTCCTGCAGGGACTTCAAGGCAAGATGGCTGCCTGAAAAAGGAGGCAAAGTGCTTCCTTTAATAAGATTATGAGATCTAGGAAGGCAGAGACCATCTTTATATGCCCAGTTCCTACCACAATATGTTGAATTTAATAGACAATAAACATTTATTGAATGCAACTGAAATTGAACTGAATATACAATAGAATAAGGTTTAGTCTAAGGAGGTCATCTAATTAGTGAAAATGATTTTCCATTTTATTTGTATGACCTAAAGATCTAATATTCTTTTCTAGAAAATTGTGTTCTTTTCTTTCAAATTCATAACCTTTTGACAAAAATAAGTGAAAATAAAATTTTCTGGGCTTTTCATAGATAAAACTTGTACAAAATTACCTTTAATGGATAAAGTAGCTTCCTAATCTTTTCAATGTTTCAACTAGCTTTAGACAAATCATAACCTCTATGAAACTCAGTTTTCTCATCTGTTAAATGGGTAGAAAACTGGTCCCTAACAACTCTGTAATCATATGGTCAAAGCCTTTTCACACATTCTCTGCAAATATATCACAATTTATGAATTGAACATTTCTCCCAGGCTTATTCTAAAAATATCTCCACATTAAATCCTAATACTAAATTTCTGACTGGACAACACATAGTTTCCTTATTATAACTAATAGTAAATAGCTAGCATTTACATAGCATTTATTAAATGCCAGGCACTATATTAAGCTCTTTATTAATATGATCTCATTTGATCTTCATAACAGCCCTGCAAAGTAGGTGCTATTATTATCTCCATTTTACAGATGAGGAAATTGAGGCAACAGGTTATGTGACTTGTCCCAAGGTCACACAGTAAGTGCTTGAGGCCAAAGTGGGACTCACGTCTTCCAGACTCCAAGCCTAGTACTCTATCCACTGTGACATCTAGCTACCTTTGCATTTCCTTTCGGCAAGGTTGCATCATTTTAATGACAAAAGCAATATAATATTTCCTGAAAAAAATCAGAGATAATACAATATTCTTTCCCCACACTCTATTAATGAAAGCAGGAGCATGAAAGAAGTACACTGTATTATTTCCTTTCTTTTTTGAAAGAAAAAGGAGATACAGATAGAGAAATTGGGGGGAGGATGGATATGACCAAAGCAAGAATTTATTTTGCTTGACTATATGTGTAACAGGAGCTTTGTTTTTCTTGCTTTCTCAAAGGGGGATGGGGGTGAGGCAAGGGGAATCAGAAATGAGAAGAATACAGATCTCAAAATTAAATAAAAATTTATTGGAAAATTTTTAAAACTTACCTGATTACTTTTTAATTTAAAAAAGGAGACTCTTACCTAAAGGGATCACAAGTAACTGGCTTTAAGGGAATATGGTGCATAAACATTCGCCTATCTTTCATTGTGCCTAAAAGAAAATATTACAGTGTATTAATGAAAACCAAATGGCTAATTTTACTGCCAACTTATCTCTTCACTTTTACTATAAATGCTTACTCAAAAGAAACACTTATATTAGGTTTCCTTCCAATAGTGCTGACAAATATAAATTGACTCACAATCGCTAGAAAAATTTTGGCTTCACAAAATTGTTTGAATTGCTTAGCATATAACATATACTGTCAGGTAGTATCAATATTTAATATGTTTACATTAATTTTCCAAGTATCAACAATCTAAATTTCAAATGGTTTAGTCAATTACCAACCACATAAAGATCTTAAGCTTTTAGAGACTGAATTTAATTTTCAGCCTTATTATTGCTTTGAAGTTATATACTTCTGTTTGAATTAGTTTTATATCTTTTAAATTTAAAAAAATCAATACATACAAAGTATGACCATAAGAAGATAAGATAGATTCTTAACAAAATACTGGAAGTCAAATATTGATATGAATGTTGTGTGCCCCCCCATAAGCATATCTTAAGAATTGACACATTAATTTCAACTAGATGATGCTGCTTAAAAACATTCCTGAAACTGCTACTCTGGTATAGCTTTCAAAGCCTCTACTATATTCTTTTATATATCCTAAGTGGTGGTAAACTTTCAGTCTTTGAGAACTGAATGGAATTTTGAAAACTGTAAGTAGAAATCGAGACTAGTGAATCAGGTTTTAATTAAATTGGTTTTGCCATTTATAACCTGTGTGACCTTAGGCAACTCACAACCTCTTTGGGCCTCAGTTTTTCTTATGTATAAAGAGCTCTAAATCTCATTACCTCTTTTTTTAAATGTTCACACTTTTAAAAAAGATTATCTATAATTAAAAAAAACACCTATAAAATGATGAAACGTGGTTTTACTGTGTGGACTAAAAACTAGATCTGAAGGCAATACAGTAAGAGCAATTCCAAAAACCTTTTAAGTAATGACAAAACTGGGGCAAGTACATAGCTTTTCTAGGCAATTGCTTTGAATACACAATTTCTGGTAATTTTTCAACAGTCTTATTACTTTGTGGCCACACCTAATAGTTACTCATCAGAGTGGTAATTAGTTATTCCGGTGCCTGGAAGGGATGGGGGAAGGAAAATCCTGCGACCTCAGTACACTGCTGAGGAAGGCACCATCTGGTGGGGGTAGAGGGGAGATAGGAATGGGTGACCCTTTTTCGCAGTACGGCCTGTGCCCTGCTGGTATATCTAACAATGCCTAGATAGCCCAACCCTCCTGGGAGGAGAGAGAGATGGGAAGGAAGGTGGCAAGCGGGAAACGGGGGGTCAGTTGTCTTCTTCAATTTGAATATACCATGCAAACATGACCACTGAGCAACAGCCTGGTTACCAAGTACCAGGATAAGGGCAGAACAGTGAGAAGACTCTCATGGGTGGTGGCCTCAAGCTAAGCAAAAGAGTAGAGGCAGTGCCGGTCCCATTATAGACTGGAGGTGGGGGAAGGCATGGTCTGGGAGTAGAAGCCCATGAATGAGGCAGAAGAGCTGTTCCCTGCACACGAACCCTGAGGAAAAGCCTCAGGCATTTCATCTTTATACCTTTTGTGCCTACTATGTACTGATTGCTGTGCTACATTATTAACAAAGAACAAATATTTCAAACAACAAAAAGAACAAAAATGTTTTATTACTGAAGTATTCTATAGAATCTTCCTCCAAGAAATCTATATAACAACTTCAAAGAAAATATAATGATAATGATACCTACATAGCAAAGTAAACAAACAACAAAAAAAGACTTTTACCATCTGGACTGCTTTTTGAAGGTTTTAAAGATTTTTCTTGATTTTCCACCACTCTGTCAAATTCATGTAACAATTTTCTTTTAATTGGGGGTTCTCCTAAAATAAAATAAATGTCTTTAAAAAAAACTGTACTTATTACCTGCTCTATTTTGAAATTATGAGCCATTTATCTTTGAAACTAAACCACTATGAATGTTATTCTAGCCTAAGATTATAAGCATTATAAATTATATCATACAAACCTGTCCCTTTCCTAGTGAAAAGAAATCATTTTCCAATGTCAAATTCATCTAGCACAATTTCTGACCATATAAAAGAAATCCTCCACCAAACCAGCCCTTCCTGGAGTGGAAGTGACCTGAAGATCTTAAAATCTATTTAAGTATAGAGTAAGTTTTGGCATGTCCTATGCCAAAACAGAAAGACACTGAGTACAAGATCATGTCTGAGGACCACCCCAGTTAAGTTTGGAAAAGTTCACCCATTGCTAGAAGGTTGACCACAGGATGATAACATTTTACCTCTTGCAGTGTCCAAAGTCTAAAGCATAAAGAAGCTTAGCTATGTGGGAAGTGGGAATGTTCACACTAAAAAGTCTGATCCTTAAAAGTATTATGTGTAGGGACAACTAGGTGGCACAGTGGATAGAGCACCAGCCCTAAAGTCAGGAGGACCTGAGTTCAAATCCCACCTCAGACACTTGACACTTACTAGCTGTGTGACTGTATAAACAGAGGTTCTTAAAGTCATTTGGCCTACTGCTCCCTTTGAAAAAAAAAATTACTCAGTGGCCCCATGGAAATCTACTTTCTTTAAACCTTTAACGATCTAACAAAGTTTTTTTTTGCATAAATTAAAAAAAAATTTTAAATGACACATTTAAAATTTAATAATTTATAGTAAATTTATAGTTTTTTTCCTGCATTGAAATTTTAATGATGCAACATTGCATCATGTAACTGTATAGTATCATATTGTGAACAAGTCATTACACGCACATATTCCTGCCATGTACGCTGGACTTCCTGACAATACAGGACATGCTTGCTTGCCAACATTTGCCTGTTAAGACTTGTTGGCAGACCTGACCACTGATAAGTTAGAACTTGCTGTTTATTTGGAAAATAATGTGATCACCTCAGCTTTAACTCTGTTATGCAACAGATGAAACATGTACGAACGGTTTCTCAAAATTTTCTTCTCTTCTTTCCTTATGCTTCCCCCATCCCCTTATTTTTATTCAATGCTCCCTAATTGTGCCCAATGCTACTACCACCCCCCTGGATCATTCCAGTGGCCCCCAGCTAGTGGTATCACCCACTCTGGGAACCTCTGTGTAGTACATAAAGAGGGAGACAGACAATAAGCATGTGTGTGTCTGTGTGCATACCTATGTGTATAAACATAAAGTGAATAAATACAAATATGTACAAAGTAATTCTACACAAGGTAGTTTGGGAAGATCCACCAATGTGTCAGAGGCTTTCCTGTATACGTTTTGACACTGTATCACTGACCTATACATCCACTCAGACTATACATTTTATCCTCCTTGGATATGATCAACCTAACACTTTCTCTGCTCGTACATCTATTTGATGATATCCCTTACGCCACTTGAATATAAATTAAGACAAACTCTGGAAACAGAGAAATTATTATTTTGCATAATAATCGGGGAATGGCTAAATAGCCTATGGTATGTGAATTAAAGCAAAGTCAAATAAATAGAACCAGATGAACAGCATACACAATAAAAATGCAAAAGAAAACATTAAAAGGAGGTAGAATTCAAATTAATACAATGTCATATCACGGTTTCAGAGAACAGGAAGTAACCATATTTCTCTCGTCTTGGTAGTAAGGGGATCAGAGAACATAATGTCGTATAAGAGTATGCTGTTTTTTGTCAGTATGTCATATAAGAGTATGAGTTTTTTGTTAGTTACATTTCACTCTCTTTGCTGTGTATACCTATTTAGGAGGAGGGTGTCCATTTATAAATAAGAGGTATGATAGAAGCATCAATAAAACTTCAAAAATGACACATCCTACTTGTGCTTACCATGTCTTTTGTATCCATTGCATCCTTTGGTTCACTCACAACTGTGATTCATCAGAGAATACAGTGTTACATGATTCACAACCACACAGCATTAACAGAAAAATATATTCATGTTGAAAGATGTTTGCCCTGGGGAGGAGCTTGAAAACGATTAAAAGCTCTGTAAAACTTTCCTAATGTAATCTAGCTCACTCTCTTCCTCTTATTCAAATCTGGATTTACCTATTTCCATTGGCAGTGGATGTACCAAATAATTTAGCTGTTTATCCATTCAGCTGCATATTAGTCTAGGAATTTTTCATATATTTTGTTTCAATCAATCAACCAACAACCATCAATAAGCACCTACTATGTGTCAGGAACTGTGCTAGGTGTTGGGGATACAAAGACAAAAAAATGAAACCATCCCTGGGATGAAGGTGTATCTGTTCTATGGGCAGAAATAGAATAAAACATACGGTAGTCAGAGAAGGCATGAGAAGCTGGGGGTAGGGTGGGAAACAGTACAATGAAGTATAAAAAGGATTCTTGAGGGATTCCATGAAGCAGAGGAGAGAGTGCATCCTAGGCATATGGCAAGGCAAGGAGAGAGACGCATAAGGAAGACAAAGAAAACCAGATTAGCTGAACTTAGTTTTTGAAAGGGGAAATGCAGAAGGAGATTGGAAAAAAATCTTGGAGCTGAGTTGCAAAGAACTTTAAAAACCAAACAGAAAAGCTCTTATTTTAACCTTCAGGCAATAGGAAGCCAGTAGAGATAACTAAGTATGGGAATAACAAGGTCAAATCTGTGCTTAAGGAAAACCACTTTGGCAGCTGTCTAGATTGAAAGAGGGAGATCATTTAGAAGGCTATTGAAATATGCCAGGTGGGAAGTAATGAGTCTGAGCTAAGGTGGTGATTGAGTAGAGAAAGGGGTCAGATGCTGAAGATGTGAAGGCACTAAGAGCAAGATTTGGTAAACGACTAAATATCTTGGGTGAAGGAGTGAGGTGTTAAGGACAATGGCAAAATCTGGAAAGCTGGAAGAATGGTAGTGTCTTCAACAAAATTAAGAGAAATTCCATAAAGGGAAGAGGAAAAAGAACATGAGTTCTAACAACTAATATCTTTTCAATACTCTTGGGTCTCACTGAGAAGGCTCTTCAACGTTCTAGTACTTGATTTAATCTGCCATACAGAAACAGGTGTATGAAACCTTATCCTCTGGGTCAGACATACTTTATGAGCAAACACCTTAGTTAGATAAACATGTATTTCCCTGTTATGCCTCATTTGACATTAATACACCGAACAGAGATTTCTGTGGTTGCATATGCATGAGAGACTCATTGTGGGCAGAAGCTTTCTCTGATCCAGTCGACTATTTTCTGCTAATCCCAAAACACAGCATCTTGTCTTCTCTGTACCTTTTAATTATGAAGATATAATCTGCCGTAGAGAATCAGTGCAAAACTTTCCTGTTCCTCTTTAGTATTTTCAAGTATAACTCTGATATACAGGCAGATCATAAATACAGATGAAAAAGAAGATATATGATTGTTATTTATGTTCTGATTGCCTCTTCTGGGATTTTAAATAGTCTATATTTTCCCCCCATTCTCTTGGCATCTCTCCCACTCCTTCCTTTAAATCTATCCTTCATCTTTACTGTGACCTCCAGTCCATCTATCCACTGCTGTTCTAATACCAATTTCTTTCCACTGAAATCTTGACCCTGTAGTTAACCAGTTTGATTTTACAGTGTCCTCTACTTTTGTTCCTTGTTCTATTATGACTCATACCTTTACATATGGGTGCTCTGCCCAAAAGAATACACATTTTTATCGTTTATACTTCCCAAGGTATCTTGGGTTTTGGGGGCTAGATTTTTTCCTTCCCTACTTATTTATTCTATCATTGTTTGTTTGAAAAACTGGGACAATTAACTCTTGTGTCTCATGTAGTTTTCATTTATGATTTCTTGATATACTGTTCTGAAAAGGCAGGCTTTGATAAAGCCCATTGGGATTCAAATGGAGCTACATGAGTATGCCTTTAAACCCAACTCACTCTGGCTCTTGCTGATTGGCCCCAGTAACAGCCCAAGACTTACCTGCTCATTGTTTTGGCTTTGATGGCTCAGAGTAAGTGTAAATGGCAATTGCTTCTTTTTTGGCCAGAAACTCTGAGGGTCTTCCCCTCCCAGACTGATTCTTTTTTGAAGGCTAACTACTGAATGGGTATTGTCTTAGACAAACAGACCTGGGAAAGACCTTAGCTTAAAAAGGCCAAGGTCTCTCACTGGGCCATCACAAGTGTTCTTGACCTATGTTTGGCCACTTCACTCCAATGACTGTGGAGGATGGAGTGGGGCTGATGACCTTTGCACAGCTCTGCCTCACTTAAATCCAACTCACTCGCAAGTCAAGACATCACCCTCCTGATGTCACTGGTCCTCTTCAAGAATGAAGGGTGTACAACAATTGTGGCTTATGTATTGCCAGACTCCAAACCCAGGTCAACACCCCGATATACCCCATAGCTTCTCATATGCTGCTAAAGTCACATAATTGTGACAACTGGATCTAACACAAATTTGCTACCTACTCTTGGACAGTCTTCACTGTAGTATGGCAATCCTTTCATTCTTCTCTATTTTGCCTCTATTGTGCTGCTGCTGCTTGCTCCAAACCTTATTCTTTTCAAGCCCCATACAGTACTGCCTTCCACTTCCCTCTCAGCAAAGTACCCTGGCCCCAACCTAAGGAAATAGAGGCCATAAGCTTTCTCTTCTCCTGAATTCTATACCCCCAAATGCTCTGACATAACCCCCTACTCTTTCCTTTGCCCCTGTCTCTGCAAACGAGTGGCTCTTCTCCAAGTGTCCTTGATTCCACAGCTCCCACTATCCTTCACGAAGTTGGCCTACTGATCATCTCTCCTCCTAACATCATCCTTCTCCCTTCAAAGAGGTACCAAAACAATCTTTGAAAGATGTATCCATGAAGATGTCACTCCTCTGCTCAAGAAGCTTCAGTGTCTCTCAACT